GAGCTTTGTCTGGAATGGTAAGTAAACAGTTTGAGACAAGAACTCCACCGGGCAAAGAAGATGTGGAAGGCGACTCAGCAACAACCCACTTGTCAGGTGTTTTAGTGTGTACATGGACTAACCCTTCTAAAACTCGACTTTTTCCTGCTGGAATGACTTCAGACTCTTTTCCTGATGTGACAAGACCAAAAGTACTGTTTTCTTTCTGTTTTTGTCTCTGTTGTAACACATTGAGTACAACTTTGGAACCATAAGGTAAGGCATGGGCATCTGTATTGGTCTGGGACAAACATTCATAAACAGTGTCTAATGTGTTGGTGCCAATTAATAGGGAAGACTGGATGTTGGAGCGGGTATCAGGGACAACTAATGCAAAAGTGGACACACTAATCTCAGAACCAAAGCAATCCTTTGGGAAGGTAATATCAACACCAATGTAGCCTGAATAAGGAACATTTGCCCCATTGGCAGCCTCAATTTCAAGCAACTCATTTATTGGATGAATTTCAAGATTAGGAAGATTATTGTCATAGAATGATTGGGACACTGTGGTCACTTGAGACCCTGTATCGAGAAGGCAGTTGACAATTTGGTTGTTAATTAGTACTTGAGCTGTGTACTTGGCTCCAATTAAGCCTTTGGGGAGATTCACAGTTGCAGATTTGTTGTAGAATGAGCGCTTTTTGGTTTTGCATCTTTGGTTGGGACTGGTTTTATCAGAAGCACCCATTTGTCCCACAATGAGGGCTGGTTTTAGTTTAACGACTGGTCTTGGTTGTTTTGTTTGTCCCACTGCATTTGTTTGTCTTTTAACTGTTGTCGTTTCTTGGCAACGAAAGATGGATCTGGATCATTGGGGCAAGCGGAAACTATATGACCGTCTTCGCCACATTGAAAACAATACCAGGGCTTTGGTCTGTTTTTGGTAACTGGGGTTGTTGGTTGCATTTTTTCAGCTTTAGGTGTTGGCTTTGTCTTGGCTTTGTCTTTTGGTGAGTCACCTTTCTTTTTGTGAGAGCTCTGTGGTTTTAGTTTGGCAAGATGACTTTGTAGTTCAGCAATCTGCGCTTTTAGTTCTTTGACAATGTTGTTTGGGGGAGTTACTGTTTCAGTTTTATGTGACTTAATCTTTGTGAATTGTCCCTGTAGTTCAGTTATTTGTGCTCTCATTTCAGTGAGGTCATTGCACATTGCGGGCTCTGAGGCATCAGTGATTGCATCCATGGCGTGTGAGGCGACTTTTGATCTGGTTGAAGCGAAATGTTGTTTCATTCTACTTTCTTTTGCAGTGTTTTTATCTTCTTCTACTCTTAATTGCAATAGTAGCTCTGCAAATGGGGGCGGATTTTCTTTCTTTCTCTCTAGCTGAAGATCTGCTAGGAGAGAGTTATTCCAACATCGGCGACAGAATTGGCGCAAAAGGTGTCTGTCTACCTCACTTTCTGAAACACCACCTCTTTTCTGAGCTTTAACAAGAGCTGTATGTAAACGATGGAGATACTGTGATGGCTTTTCACCTATATCCTGGAGCGTGCTAAGGAATTTAGCAAAAAGCTCATCCCCATCTTCTACTGTGCCAAATGCTGAATTAAGCAGCTCAATGTATGCAGAAGGCAAAGCTTTTGGCCCTAATGGTTTGATCACATGTGCTGCAGGTGGCACTAGACTGTCAAAAATCTTTCGGGAGCGCTGTAAATCAGACAGATCTGGGTCTTGGAGAAGGAGCTCCACACTGTTACGCCATGTGTCAAAGTCTACCTCGTGATTAGGACAAGGAAGTTTGCCTGAGAACGGTCTAAGACGGAAAGAGCCACTTGTTTGAGAAACAGAGGACTCACTTCGAACTATATGCTCAACAACAACTTTTTGCACCTCTGGATGAGTTATAAAGCTCTGGGGAATGTACGATGCTTGAGTTTGTTGTGTTGGCTGGACATGTTCAATTTTGTTTGTATTCAAGTTGGTTTCAGTTACTTTCTCATGTTCACTTACAACTTCAGTAATTTTGTGGTTTTGTGTTTCTTGTGAGGATTCCCCAATTTCAGTTTTGTCAGTAACACTTGTGATTTTCTGGCCACATTTTGAAAGATGTTCTTGTAGAACTGCTTCAAATGGTTGACCTGCTAGCCTGGATAGCCTGGATATTTTCTGCAGTTCGTAGAAGAAATTGAGGGTTGCGTGGTTGGTAACTGTTTCCATGTACTCATTTGAGAGAGACCTTATTTGATACTTCACGTTCTGACTTTCAAGAGTATAAGGCAGCATGGGTTCAAGGGCTGTCAAGGCATCTTCACTTGAATACTCAACAATAACTTTGTTGTGATGTGAAGAATGTTTATCATCAATCTTTATCATTCTCAGTATGCGCCCATACTTCTTAAGGAAGTCAATCAAGTGTTCATCAAGGTTTTCTCCAGTAATCCCACTGATAATAACAGAGTTTGGGATTTCAACATTTTCTTTGTCGACAATGTCCATTTTTTTTCTGCCGGGCTTGGCCTATTTTAGTGTATGGGTCAAAATAATGTTTTTCCACTCCTCCTGGCTGGCTCGCCACTTCTATAGCACCTCCAAGGGTCACTATAGTATGATAAAGTTCTGTGGACCAAGATCAGAAACCTAGACTCGATTAAGAGGAGTAGGATAAAACTTAAGATAAATAAGAGACACAGACCAGAGAGTAAAGTTTAAATGCCGGCTTGTTATTGAACATATGGACAAAAGACAATGACTTACATTTAACATTTATTTTGGAATAAATCCCTTTTTGTGTTAAACCTTCTTAGTTTAATTTTAGGATATTTAATTCCTTTTGGGTCCTATCAATATAGGTTGCAACCTTTAGCTATTTTAATCTTCAGTTCAAGGTAGTTCAAGGTATTTCTCTATTTAACTCTTTTATTAATGAGTTTAGTTCTATTTATCTCAACTCTTTTAGTTTAGTATAGGTATCATTGAATTTAGACAAAATGTTGTTTTAGCATTTGGAACCAAACAATGAATAAAGAAAATAAAATACAGTCAAACTGTTACAAAACTCAAAATATTCAGCAAAAGACTGAACAAGTCTGTATTCCACCAAATAAAGTCTCTTCCTTCCGATTCTGCTTGTTTTTCTTTCTCTGAATTATCAGTCCAATGTTATCCACCTGGATCCACTAGTTTGGTGGAAGATCCTACCAGTTCAGATGTAAACCATGAAACATCCAGCAGGGGGTGCAATCCTGGCTCATGCACAGTTCACACTGTGTCCATAGGGTGGCTCGCCATCTTGAATCTTCCAATTTCCAAATCCAGTGTCTAATCAACAATCCTTCATCCCAACCTAAGTTGGCCAAGTCCCGTTTAATCCAGTACACAAACCATCAATACAGAGTCCGGTTGCTTTGCAAAACACCAGTAGCTCAAAACCGACAAACAAAAAAAATATCTTCTCTGGAGTGAAAACAAAAATACCTTCGTTGGAGTTAAAAACAAAAGTATCTTCTTTGGAGTACCAAAAATGTACTTTTCAGGTTTAGACTCAATTCCTCCACTTGCTTCTCTGCTAATTTTAATGCAGCACTTTGCGTGTGTCTCACCAACATGGGGAATTCCCGCAACGATCTGATTGGATGTAAGTTGCTGCAGAGGCTTTAGAACAAAATGCCCTTCCTAATAGAAATCTACATGGGTTTCAACCATTTAATAATGTAAATAATTATTTTGAATATTTGTTTGTTTTGTTTTTTAATCAAATAATATACAGTAAAATGAAATAAAACTTTTTAGATATTTTTAGATATATTTTACCATATGAACTAATTTATTGACTTTTTATCTTAAGCATTTATTGTTGTTTTTATTAACACTTTGGTGGCTCTGTTAACCTCTGGGTTACAGCTGCACTCACAAGTTTTCTCTTGATCTACCAATTAATTGTCAACCTAAATAACTTGATCAGTTTATTCTTAATAATATATATATATTTTGCTAAATATTTTCTTTTCTGCCTAAGAATCAGATTTTATCTGCTGCCACCTTCAGCTATTCTATTTTTGAAATAATGTTACATAGATGGGGGAACTGAATGCCAAAGGACATCTTCCATCTCCATATCTTACAATAACAGCTGTCACAATACCCTAGCAGCTTTATTTGCCATGATAATTTAGTCTTTTGTGTATTTAAACTATGGATATGTATTTGTAGGCAGGGGCGATCAAGGGGGCCCTGCGTTTGAAGTTACAGCTGGTATTTCTGGCACTGCATTGGCTGCTTTTCGCAATCAATGCATTATTTATTAAGACTGAGAAGTTCTCTTTAAATCTGCTCCATGTGGGTTTCCATTTGGATGAGAACACCGTATAGTAAATGTCACGATTTGGTGTTGGATTGATGTCCCAAAAGCAGAGGCAAGTTGGCAGAGGTGAATTTTGGTGGGTTTAATGAGGTTTACAGGTACGGAGGCAGGAATCAAAGATCCAACAAAAATAACAACGAACCAGAACCAAGGAGACATCAGGGGAAACCAAACTCTAGGAGCCAGGGAGAGACAAGGTAAGCAGACAGGCGTTAGACGAGGATCCAGCAAACAGGAACTGAAGAGGGAGGGCTTTTAAAGGGGACAGAGACAAAGAGAGGGCTAACGAGAGGATTGAAAACAGGTGAGGACAGAGCAGAAAACAGAGCTAGGAAAAGAGGACACAAGAGGGCAGCAGAGGACAACAAATGGAAAACCTGGAAGACAGGAACTAACAAAAAAACAACAAAATAATAATTAAACACTAAAACAAGAAGCAAAGTAAAACTGAATACTCTAAATAAACATAACAAAACCGAGACTGTGACAGTACAGCTAATAATTTTTTTTTTGTCTGTTTTTTACTACTAGTTTTGCCCCTAGAATTGGCCAGAGTCCAATGTGGGATCAATTTGTGCTTTTCTTTTTCTTGAAATTATACACCATTGAATCTTCAGTCACACTTTACAAATTCTTAATAAAAACAAATACAACCTGATTGAGCAGAATACATTTTATTACTTCCTAAGGAAAATTAATACATTTTTATTTTAATACCATCTGTGAAGGTAATGGCGCCTGTAGAGTTAAACACCTATCCCTGCATCATGCCTTTATACACACCTAGAAACACACACCTTCACAGACAAACACAAACCACACTAATGCAACTAAACAGAGCATCAAAAGATTTCATAGACTACTCTGGCACCTGCTGCACTTTAGGTATATTACTTGCTACATCTCTATATAGGCTACATATGTCTCTGCCAAGAGTTTTTATTTACATTTTTTCTGCAAGGGTGCTTAATATGTTATGCTTGTCATGTTATGATTGGTTTTTATTGGTCTCTAAAGGGGATATTTATTTTTTATTTTGTTTTTAATGTTCAATTATGAGTGTTTTGTTTACACTTAATTTTTACATGTTTTAAATTATTTAGTACAAACATTATGTATGTGCTATTAGCCAGTTTTTCCCCCCACAAATTGTCACGGTGGTTATATGTACAGTAAAGTAAATATACAGCAAACTTTTCATTACTGTGAAAAATCTTAAACTGTTTATTATTTTAGGTTTGCTGAATGGTAATTGTAACTTTGACCAAAATTACCTCATAAAACTAGAAGGAACTTGCTAGGTTGGTGGTTTACATGTGAATAAATGTGAAAAAGTTCAGTTTGTGTAAATTCCTTTTGCTAGGCATAACATTTATGAACCTGAGAGAACATTTAGAAAATGTTTTTTCTTTCAAGACGTGACCCCACTTTTTTGAAGAGGGCTTTTAATTTGCATAATTTACAATGTTTAAACTTTACAGTCTTTTCCTTTTTGCCTTCTTCAACCCTTGTATCTTCTTTCCAGCTCTCTTGGCCCAGCCAGGGACTCCACACTCCACCATGTAGTTCTGGATCAGCCATTGGATCATCTGGTGGGTTCTTTGCCATTACAGCTGTGTGGTTATACTCTGCCAGCCTGAGCAATAGATGTTTTACCACCCTTGGTCGAATCTCAGCAAGGTCAAACCTCTCGTACGGGTCCGCACTGATGTTAAACAGCCACACTGACTTCCCCAGCCTATTACGTTGCTTCTCCAATTTCTGCCACCGTTCTCGGCCAGCGGGAAGAGCCTGTGGTGGTATCCAGTCTCCATCACCCACATTTCCTGTCAATAACTTCCAGTCACCCACTCTTAGTGCGGCTCTAACAGCGGTGTCCCAAATCCCGAACCCATTGAGTACCACTGCTTTGTCATATGGCTCCCCAGGTTTCCTTGACACAGGATCGATGTTGAAAAGGATTTCCTTACGAGGGCAGGGTAAGCCCTCATTGATGCTTCCCCAGACGTTATGGCCATCTAGATCATGGTAGGATTGCAGGTCCCCTGCAAGCCTAAGCAATGTAGGATACCAGTCAGAAACATGGATCAGTGCTTTACTAACAATTCCTTTCCTCTTTAGAAGGGGACTATGGACAAACCCGACAGCCCTGATGCCGCCCTCCCAGTAAGTCCCTTTCCCTCCTCTAAGTGGCCAGTTGCTTCCGCCTGATAGCGGCTGTCCTCCATTATCAGATGAGTAGATCAGCACAGAGTTTTGATAAAGCCCACTAGCCTTCATCTCTTTTACCATCGGTGCTACCCCGTCATCCAAGCAGCTTAGCATGGCTGCATAGTGACGCCTTTGACGATTGCTGTGTGTTTTATAGTGGTGCAAGAAAAGGTCTGGTGCCTGTAGGGGGGTATGTGCAGCCTGGAGGGACAAGTAGAGGAAGAGCGGTGTGCTGGAGTTGTGGTTCTGCAAAATCTTCTTCACTCTGGATTGAAAAAAGGAACGTTGTAAGATTAAAGATGCAATGTCTTACAATATATATATATATGTGTTTATGTTTGGCTGTGTTACAAATACAAGCTCTAATCTATTCTAATAAAGAAATAGAAATTCATAGTGGTTTAATGAAAGTAAAGTATTGGTATGCTTTGGTACTCAATCCCGTTTACCCCAGTATCCCTAAATGAAAACTAACCAACACATCAACCTTAACACACTGTCACCTATCTGAAAAATAGTGATAGGAGTAACATGCTATCCCTCTACAAGGGGAGGAAGCTGGTCACCCTTTGCCATAAAAAAAAGTAAAAATTTTTGTTCCACATAAAAAATTTTCTAAAATTTGTGACTCCTGTTATTCAGTGACATCAAAAAACATTTTCAAAGATGTGGTTTTAACTAAAAGTTAAGAATTAGAAGTTTAAGAGATATGTATAGATTTGCAAGCAATTGTTATTGCTTTAATTCATCTTAATGGATGAAATAATTTATTCCTCACCTCTCAATGTAAAGCAGGGTAGAGTAGTTGCCTCTCATCTCCCAGGCAGGCCTGTTCCCGTCATGCAAGTCAAATCCACAAGCTTCAGCCCCATCGCAGCTCTGATAGGAGAAGTGGTCTCCACTGCCTGTCAGGGTTCCAAGGAAACTTTGAAATCCACGTTGTGTGGGCAGGCAGTCTGGCCTAGAGAATCCCAGGTGCCATTTCCCAACCATGTGTGTGGCGTATCCAGCACCAGCCAGACGTTCAGGTAGAGTGGGAATGTCTGCAGGTAAACAGAGCGGCTGGCGAGGTCGGATGACTGAATGCTGGAGACCAGTGTGAATTTGATAACTGCAAGCACAGCGATATTGTATTAGTAGATTGAACTCATGCACTTCATTTCTTAAAGTACATCTAACCAGTTAAAATCAGTTTAGGGTTAATTTCTGACTGCTTTAATGTTTCATTTTAGTCATTTACTCTAATTGCAAAATTGGACTAACAACAGAATCCATGCATAAATACCTACATGTACTGAATTATTTGATATCATATTCTGAGCTTTTTAATGTTTTATATTTTTCAGAGGAAAGAAAATTACACGTCATTACTAACATTTCTTACAACTAAAAATTATGTGTTTGTATTTAGATCACCAGAGTCTACACCCAATCAGTCCTTTATAAAGCTGTTTTCACGGCAAATAGAGCCATAAGTCTTTTAGGTTAGGTCTACCAGCTTTGCACATATAGAGACTGAAGTTTTTACAAAATAGCCAGATGGGTTGAATGTAGGTTTTGTTTATGTCTAGGGTCATTGTTCTGCAGTCTCAGTTGTGGTTTCAATTCTTTCACAGCCTTTAACAGCTTTTCCCTCCCTTTACTGTCCCAGTGGATCAAAAACATACCCACTAATGTCTTACTACGGGACTGGGTTACAAGGTGATATGCAGGTTTACTTTCAGCTACACACATGTACTGTAGTTTGCATCTAGTTTGCAGCTAGACACGCAAACAAATAGTCTCACAGGGCAATTTGAATTCATAACTTTGAATTCATTTAAGAAACAAAACAGGAAATCAGTTGCACAAGACGATTGTTTGTGCATGGTGTAAACTGTTAAAAATAATTTTTATAGGAAAATAAACTTAATTAGAAGATAAGAACTTCTGCCTCACCGTCCTGTCATGAGCTGACTACGAGAGGGTGAGCAGATAGGCTGGACATAATAGTTTTCCAATTTGACACCTTCTGCTGCAAGCCGGTCCAGCGCAGGAGTGTGGATGTCTGAGCCGTGATACCCAATGTCTCCATAACCTTGGTCGTCCACCATGATGAAGATAAGGTGAGGGGGTCTGGGTTGACCGTTCTCCTCTGTATCCACTTTGCCATCTAATTCACAAAAGCATCCAACACCTCCAAGCAAGATTATACTGGTCCCAAGGAAAAGAACAGAGAGGAATGCTTTCCTGATGCCCTCAAATAGTCTGAGCATTACTGAAGTTAGGTATTTTCTCAATTATTTACGTAACTTTGACAGAATTATTTCATCTAAAAACTAATTTTAAATAAACTGCACATCCAGAAAGTGCATTCATGAGTCCTCTTTGTAATTTCAGGATGAGTCGGATGGGAGTTTTATTGAAAATTCTGCAGTGGGTGGAGGAAAACTGCTACCTTTGTAAACAGAGAAACTGGCAAAGGTTGATGTTTGAAAAAGGGAGACTTACTTTTTTGCATAACCCTGCAACATTCCTATGGAGGTTAGAGGGGCCTATCTAACAGGCACAACTCTGGGAAGTTGAATATCTACTGTTGCACATGCTTTAGCTGTTCAAGCATGTAAGATTTTTACATTTAGATTAACTCTATAACTATCTCCTCCCTCTCCTACAGCACAACGTTTTTGTATGCTGTCTGTAGTTGTTGATCTCCAATTTTATAGATCAATTGTGAGGTTTGAAGCTCTGCCAGATGAAATAATTTAAGCAAGCAGAAAACAAAGAATAAATGAATAATGGATTAGCATTATCATGATTGTAACCCTTACCGTGAATAGTGGTTTAGTGTTGTGCTATAGGTGTTACCCCATACTTCAACACAATGGCTCAGGTAAGGTAAAATCAGTGTACAGTAAAAATGTGTAATGCTTTATAGTTCAGTGAATGATTTGCTTTACTAAGATGATTCTAGATAATCTAGTTTGGGCATGTTTGATATGGTGCTTCCAGCACATTTGTTTTAGTCCACAATCACATCTAAGAAATATAGATTTGTTTTACATATTCCATCTGTACCCCACCAAATGTTTACTTTCACATATATATTTCATTTATAAATTCCAAATTTTCATTTCATTTTATTCATCCAAGGTTCAAAGACAATTTAGCAGGTACTTTTTTTTTCACTTTTTCATGTGATATCATCCAATAGCAGCTGCAAGCTCTCACCTGTACAGAAAATGTTTGTATTATTTGCAAATAAAACAAACTACTTCTTAACAGGAGCATATGTTAAGAAATAACTAACAATAGAAAACAGTAACAAGAACAAAGGGGAAGACAAGGATTCAGGAGAAAATGAAAAAAGAGTAAATACAGAGAAAGAGTTTATATGCCAAACAGATCAAAGACTGGATCAACTCATTGGGAGCAGGTGTGGACTAAAGTAACTAGAAGGGAGCTCGGGGAAAGGAGAGTGACACAAGAGGGCAACAGAGAGTAACAAAGAAAAACAACAGGGTTTAAATATAACTTGAAAAGAAATTAAATGACAATAAATAGAAATGAAACTAAAGACTTTGAAAATCCAGAATAACATAAATCAAAGTAGGTTTTAGGTTAGGTCTCTGCCAGCTTTGCACATATAGAAACTGAAGTTTTTGCAAATTAGCTGGATGGATTGAATGTAGGTTTTGTTTATGTCTATGGTCATTGTTCTGCAGTCTCTGTTGTGATTTCAATTCTTTTACATCCTTTAACAGCTTTTCTCTCCCTTTACTGTCCCTGTGGATCAAAAACATACCCACTAATGTCTTACTTTGGGACTGGGTTACAAGGTGATATGGATATTTACTTTTCAGCTACACACACATGCTGTAGTTTGCATGTAGATTGCAGCTAGGCACTCAAACAAGTAGTCTCACAGTGCAATTTGAATTCATAACTTTATTTTCTAATGACTTAGAAAATACAGAACATAAATCAAAGTAACTGAAAATCCAAAGTGAAAACTTGATCATTGCATTTCTCGCAATCCAAAAAACATCACTATTAGTGTATCTGGTGTATCTACATTGCCCTTAGTTTTGTATGTTTCTGTTTAGACCTGCAATGGACTGGTAATCTGTCCATTGTGTACCTCTCTGTCAGAAGGCTTAGAATGTAGGACCCGAATTTAGACTAGGCAGACAGTGATAACTTCAAAGGCGTTTATTGAAAAAGCTGTGTGCGGCTGCTCGACAGCTGAGGCGGGCTCACTGGAAACGCTGCAGGGATGGAGACTCAGGTCAGTGACTTCAGAACTCAAACAGAGAACGACAATGAGCATGAAAGTCACCAACCTGCCAAAGTTCAGTCTGAGCTCATACGAAGGAGTGAAGTCCAGAGGAGAGGTACTCCGCAGTTTGAAACTGAGCCGGTACCAGAGATCCAGAAGAGAAGAGGAGCAGCGAACTGCAGCAGCCAGAACACACAGAGGAACCCAGGAGACAAGAAGGGCAAATCCAAGCCATGGTCAGGAGATAGTTCCAAGGTCAACAACAGGCAGAATCCAGGTAACAGTCCGAAAACACAAGACAGGCCAAAACAGAGCAGAACACGGGAGGCCAAAACTCAGAAGTTCAGGGGCAGGAACAAGTCAGGATCAGGCAGAACTAAAAACATACAGGAACGCTAGAATTAGTCTTGCTCGAATAATCTTGCACCAATAGCTGGGAACCGGTGGCATAAGTAAGTTGCAGAAACAGGTGGATTGGATGATAGATAATGAGCATAGGCCAGAGCAAAGCAAATAAGAGAAAAAGGAGTAAAACCCAGCCTATGGTGCCAAGATTATGACACCTTGTCTTTTGTCCATAGACTGCTGGAGATTCTGCAAATCTTATGGAAAAACAATAGAATATGGAAAAATTGCTCTTTGTGTGAATAATTTCCTAAAACATATTTTCCATTTAAATGAAAACCAAAGGGCGTTCATATAAAAAGCTATTTCATATTTGGTTTATTTTCAGATAATTCCACTTTGGTAGTGAGCCTTTAGCTTCAGCCTCCAGCACCAACTACTCTGGATTTGCACAAAGCAAAACCAAGATACCAAGACAGTTTTAGGCTATGATTTAAACTACTTCAACAAATCTTTCTTAAAACAACTACTTTTAAATTTTTTTTCCATGGAAATATTGCTCAATATGTAAGCATAATTCTTACCAATGACTTTTATTTAATTCTACACGGGCCTGCCATTCCCACTAAAGAGCCACATATAGCATTTCCACTTTAACAGCCCGCACCGTAAATTTAAAATGATTGCCCACATCCATAATGGAAATCAAATAATCCCTGTCATTTTTCTCTTGTGGCTTTGTTCTACACAATTAATAGAGTTACCTGATGAGAACTGCCTCCCACACTGCCTGGGACATTGAAACTTAACAGGGAAGCATCAGGCATTGTGATGAGAATATGTATCGACCACTGGCCGTCTCCCTCCCATTATGCTTAGAGGAAATCAATGTCTCAGATGTGAGTCCATTTCCTTCGTTGGAGAAGCAAATTCATGCTGCCTGACCCTGAGGGAAATTTTACAGGCTTTTTCTCACTTAAGTGAGAGTGGGAGATCGGGAAAGACAACGTTATGCAAGACTAAGATGTTGGGAAATGTGAGGGAACATAATAGGAATGCACGACATAAAAAAACAGGAAACAGGAGATATAAAGGGATTGTAAAAGCTGGTCATAGGCGCACAAAATGTAAACAAAAAGACAAAAGGACTAGTCAAATGTTCTTGCTGTATTTTAGTATATTTGTGTAAATATAAGGGAAATGTAGGGTCACATGAGCTGCTGTATAGGGTCTTGTATATAATGAAAAGGGATATATGCCCTCTTAAAGTATAAAGAAATCAAGGGATAGTTCTTTTTAAAAAACTGCCTAAAAGGACAAAGAAACATTGTTATGGCCTATGTAATCCGTCCTGCAGAACATGTTTATTAAAAGCTCACGATAAGGGTTTGAGCTAGAAATAGAGCATATTTTTACTCTTAAAGGACCTTTAAAATCTGACAAAAATAATGTCATTCTTCCAGATCACAGCACAGGGAAGGACTTCAATTTATGAATTAATGAATAACCATAGTGGGTGCTTGGATGTTTTTCATTGTTTATTAGTTTTGGAAAAGGTAGTGCTCTGGAACAGAGGGGTGTGATTTATTCATGACGATGACTGAATGAGTCACTCGATCTAGAGGCACTCAGAGGCTTCACTAAAGGTGAGTAAAACTGTTTGTGCCCTTCTGGAAAAATAACTCCAGCTTTTTTAGCCACAGTGCAACACTTAAAGCTCTTTGTTATGTTAAACATAAATTGTGGGAATCTTTGTATCCTAAACTGTACTAAGATGACCCTTGATTTCTTAAAATGCAGCATCCAGAAAACCATTGTATTTTTCTTCATTTTGACACATCAAAAGCACAAACCTTGAAAATTTAATTGCTTCTTCCAATAAAACTGTATATGTATGTGTCTCTTTTAGGACTGCCCTGCCTTTTTTTTTTTTTCCAATTTGGCTCCAACTTTTATTAGATTGCACACAGTGTGATGCTCCCCTTTAGGACTTGCAGGTTCCCTTCACATCTCCAGACTGATCTTCAAAAAAATAAAATAAAGGTGCTAAAACGTTTGTACAAGAGAAAAAGAAAACACACATGCAAGAACTAGAAATGTTAAAGGTGATCTACGATTGCATGCACTGTTGATAGACAAAAGAAAAGTAAATAAGAAAAATTGCATGATACTGGTGATTTGGGGGTTGAAGTTCTGAGTAATGGAAATGGAGGTACTAATAATAATTATGAAAATGAATAATAATGATAGTAATTATGAATAATGTTTAAAGTGCACTTTAAATCCAAGTGCTTCGATCAAAAAATTTAACTATTTTAAAGTTGAATTAAAAATATCAAATAGCAGTCATAAAACCTGGGAAAGCTGACGACCAACTCCCAAGTGTTCTGGTTTTGTTTAGGCTGGGGTCAGTTTCACGAAGCATGTTAAACAAGTTCAGATTCAAATCCGCAACTCTAAATTGATCTAGCCTAAACTCGGGAACTCTGAGTGTTCTGTTTCACAACGGCTGCTAACAATTAGTTCAATACATTTTATCTGGTCCACTCAGAGTTAAGCACATGCTTATAAAAAGCCAATATCAGTGCAGCACCGATTCGATGACTTTACATATTTTATTTGGCTTTTCTGACATTATCAGCTTGAATAAAAATATATTTATAATATCTGACAAACATTTTTTTCATAGAAAATAATACAAATGCTGACCAGTAATATTAGGAATATGGAGATCTGAAATTGAATTGCTTTGACAAACATAGATCTGTCCAGTAAAGCACATTCAAATGA